ACAGAACAAGATGAATTGATGCTTTTGAAAGATAAAGAATGTAAGTAAAAAGTTCCATCCTTATTTTTCTTTGTTAACTGTTTTATACATCGCAAATTTTAAATTTTACGCACCATTCATGTAACCGTTTTTTTAAATAACGCTAAATAATTATTCCAAAACCTCTATTAGTGCGAAAATGTGATATTTTTGCACAAATAAATAAATGTCTTAACTTTTCAGTGTCTCTTTCTATAAAAATTTTGGTTTGCCTTGTAACTTATTAATTTTATATATTTGCCTTGAAATTTATTAAGTTTCATCCTACAAAATTATATTGGAAATATTATAAGTTTTAAAATCACGTAACACGTGGTATTTGATAAATCAGTTCAAAATCATAAGATGGCGCTTTACTGTCCTCTGACAGAATTCCCGATTATGCCAGAAACTATAATTGAATATATGCTTCAAAAAAACCTGAGATAACGAAATTGTATAATCATCAAACTTCGTCGAATTTCTTGCCAAAAGTGAAAAATAAAAACAACAAAACCAGTTTGATTGTCTTATAAAAGTAGGAAATATTCATAAAAATTAGGTTTCAACTACTCTCCGTTTTATTTCGGCAATCAAACCGGTTTAGATTCTTTTAACCTCGTTTTCCTTTTTAAAGTGATTCCCCGGGATTGTGTTTCTTGTTTCTTTCCTTACTGAAATATTAATTGACAAGCACTATTTCGTTAATTTTTGTACTTCAATTTTGACAAGAATTTCAAAAATATATATTAAAAGTGGTAATCACGGAACAGCACCTTTCAAAATTAACTAGCTAACAATTACGCATACAAATTATTTCATTACGATTGCCCTTTATATACATTTTTCTGTATCCGTCATTCCGGACTTTGTAACAATCATTTAATGTTTAGGAATGTATGGGCGCAGTTGACGCGGTGAGGCGCAAACAGGATAAGTAAAAGAAAAGAGAAATGGACGCCGGTAAAGTGCAGTAGATGTCTAGCCACCGTTCAACATGATGCATCTCAGTAAAGGAAGGCTCTCAATTATGCTAACTTCTACGATGAGAGACCTTGTGTTTGTCGAAAAAGCAAACATGCCTTGCATGTACGGCAGCGCAAATGGTAACGGCAGAGTTGAGCTACGAATGTATCACGTGCAGTTTTCGGATTGACGAATGCCGATTCATAGAATTTTTCAGTTGTTACATCGTCAACTTCGTGAATGGAGTTTTCTTTTCTTCACCAGACATGAAACTGGTCGACGAAAAACTGTACTCAGTCCACGCCTGTAAGAAAGCATATTGAACGTTGTTGCTGAAAGACACGAGACAAAAGCTGTTTCTCATCAGGTAGATCTGAGTTATCAGACAGTTTGTAGAATTTTATATTAAAATCGCTGACTTCCTTTCTATTTTTAGCGAGTACAAGCTTTGAATTCGGCTGATAGTCCTCTCCGCCCGAACTTCTGCCAGTGGGTGGTACAGCAAAGTGCGCTGCAGCCGTACTTTATACTTAATGTACTATTTACAGATGAGGTGACGTTTACACGCGAAGGTGTGACTTTAACGCGCAATTCCCATGTATAGAGTAACCGTGAATCCACGTGTAACGCGACCACATGCGTATCAACAACGATTCTGTTTGAATGTGTGGACTATTGTCAACGAATTTTTGATTGGCCCACACTTACTACCGACGTGACTTAATGGCGAATGCTATCTCATTTTTCTAGAACATGTGTCACCAGAACTACTGCCGGATGTTCCGATCGAAATTCGTCACTGCATGCGGTTTTAGCATGATGATGCTCCAGCCCACTTTAGTTGCTCGAATATCCGAAAGTGCTATACGTGTGCGTGAAATAACTGGCATCTTTGAACGTGTGCGCCAATCGCTCCACCGACGCTGTCAAGCACGTATCAAGCAATTTCGACAAGTTATTGTAAACATTACTCTTGCCTACGACGCTTTCATTAAAAAAATTTGTCTTTCCTTTCGTCTCTTATTTTTTGTTTGCGCCTAACGGCCTCACTTGCGCGCCCATGCAATAAATGGTACTACGTAATTCTATAAAATAAATGATTGTTACAATGTCCTGCACCTACCCTTAAAATTTGTTCCAAGAATTTGAAACCCCTCTGTTTAAATATTAAGGATTTTATCTATAAAAATACCTTAAAATACTTAATTGCAAAGAAATAAAAATTTACATTCTTCAATTATTTATTAATATTATTCTAATAACTTCAACCCAAAAATCTGCAGATAATAGATTAATTTTGAAAAACACGTGGAATAGTTTTTTTAAAGAATATTTTATCCTTCCGAGTACCAATCTACCTCCTACATAAAATATAAAATTTGATAAAATCAGCTCTTTACTATATTAGTTGAAAAATGGTGAATTTTCCCAGTAGCCTTTCATATGCTTGATGCAATAACTAAATAAAATATAAAAGTAAATGCTTTACGTTTTAACTAATATTAAGGTTTAATGAAAATTCAAAGCATTTGATTGGAGTAAAATTTTCAGCTAATTAATAAAAAACAATTCTAGAATGTTCATTTCATTGCAACAAAAAA